CAGTTATCCTTAACTTTGTGTAGGTCGGGACACTACCGGGTGCCCAAATCGAAGTACGTGGTTTTCTTAAGGGGCAACTCCCGGAACCTCTGACCTTGGGATCTAATCCACGAGGCATTGGAACAACGTAAGGATATGAAATCACATTGTAACCGGTAACCTAGAATATGTTCATACACCGATTGTTCACTCAAAATCCTGGAGCCCATGAGCACAATTGATCTGAAATTAGGGTTTTCAACTCCCCAAGATAGACTCTCCGTACACTCAACTAGATTTATGTCGTACATTTGCTTTTCGTCCCCTCAATTTCGCAAACAACACACCTACCACGAGAAGGCAGTGAGCAGCACTTCTCTGGCATTGGCTATAAACGAGCAGCTTTATGAGAGCATTTCGAGAAGGAGGGAGGACTCTTTCCCCCCCCCCTTGAACATACCACGGCATTTGGAGGCAAAAATCAGTCATACCCAATTTCTATCTAGAGTTCCCTAAAAAAAGGATTAGATTGACATTATAGGGAGGTGAATTGGTTAATACACTTGCCTACTCTACCTTGTGATCGTTTGATAAGCACTGATGAAAAACAAAATCATCCTTTGATAACCATAGAGGGATTGATTTGACTAAAATAGCATCTACAATACTAACCTCAATAATTACTGGGCGCCCAACTAAGACTCGTGAACTTCAAACACGAGAAAATCAAGTTGGTTTCAGACCTGGTGGTGGCTGCATTGACCACATATTCATTACTCGTCAGGTTTTAGAACACAGACATGCTTATCGGCGTCCGACAATGATAGTTTTCCTTAACTTAAAAGCATAATTTGACTCCGTAGATCGAGAGGTTCTGTGGCAGTGTCTGTCATTGAAAGGTGTATCTCAGAAGTACATAGACTTTGTGAAGGCTCTTTACTCTGACACTACCGGTCGAGTCAGAGCTTATGGCAAACCGTCATCTGATTTCGCAACCTCAAGTGGTGTCCGGCAACACTGTCCACTACCCTCATTTTTTTTCAACTTCATCATAGACCTATTGCTGGAAATAACGCTCTTGTTGACTGGATTTTCGGGCATTGATCTCCTACCAGGAAGTTCACTTATCAACTTAAAATACGCAGATGATATAGTCCTGTTTGGTGAAGACGCCAATAAAATGAATAGTCTTCTGTTAGCACTGAGTAATAATGCCAGGATGTTTGGGATGAGTTTCTCCCCATCTAAATGTAAATTGTTACTCCAAGACTGCCCTGCATCAATACCTGAACTAAGGATAGGGAGTGAAGTAGTCGAACGCGTAGACAACACTTATCTTGGGAATCTAATCAGCCCTAATGGGTTGGTGTCTGACGAAATCTCTGCACGAATTGAGAAAGCTCGTTTGACTTTTGCCAACTTACGTCACCTATGGCGAAGACGAGATATCCGTCTATCAATTAGGGAACGAGTATACTGAGCAGTAAAACGCGGTCATTAAGAGTAGAAGACACTCGTAAGCTACTAGTATTTGATCACCGATATCTTAGAAATATTATGGCATCTGCTGGGATCATCGGGTAAGTTATAGTGAGGTTAGACACAGGGTATTAGGGAATGATGGTAAATCAGCTGATGAGGTTGTGAATCTTCATCGACTGAGATGGTTGGGCCACGTGTTACGTATGCCTGAACGTCAACTAACACGACGCGTAATACTGGCCAGTGTTGGAGATGGTTGGAAGAGAGTTAGGGGCGGCCAAACCAAGACGTGGCACCAGTTCATATAGTTACTAACTTCTGGTATTAGCCATATTGGTAGATGCAGACTACTTGATTGGGGTCAGCGTAACTATCGGTTGGAGAGTCTGGGTGACATGGCTCAGAAACGACCACAATGGCGTAGGTGTATACACTCTTCGTCTTCCCTTAAACCGTGAGATTAAAATTGCTTTATATATTTCTTCCTACGAACTAATTCTTTCTTCCTGTATTATACTCTTATATGCAATGTCTTTTTACATATTACTACGATTGGAGTAACTGTTTATATGAATTTGATATTCATCTCGTTGTGCTAATGAGGTGTGGCAACTTGGACCGATGCATATATTATTATTATTATTAATGGCTTTATTCAATATTATATAGAATTCTCAGCACGAGTTATTTCAACAAGTTTTTTTACCAAAAAACGAACAAAAAAACAGAAAAGGAATAAAAAAGGTTTAAGAAAATCTGAGTCTGTACAAATTATCGAATTTGAGACATGCTTAAGAATACAGGTTATGTACCAGGTCAACTCTAACAGCCTGTTCGTCACTAAGTAAATTTGCTAGGTAAGGTATTACGGAACTTTTATAGATTTGCTTGCGTGTATGGATTTTAATGTATTTACGTCTTGTTCTACCAGAAGATATACAAGGAGAAAGATATGAATGAAGTGGATGGTTAGTATTTGATAAGATAACACCTGCCAAGAGTTTGCAAGAATTAAGATGTCTATCCACAAGCATATTAATGACTTCAAAAGATTCACCACATACCTGCCTTCAGCACTCTACGCAAAACAGCAAAGTCTATTCTCAAAAGCCCGGGAAAGAATAATGGAGAACAATATAGAATAATAGGTAATATGCAGGAATTTACAAATTGTAAGAGTAAATGGCGAGTAATCCCAAAAGCATGCAGCCTCTTTATGTAGTATGTCAAACGGTAAACTTTTTTCGATAACAGTAAAACATGAGAAGATCAAGAAAGATCAGAGGAAAAAATGACCCCAAGATATTTGACCTTTGACACTGTGTTTATTAAGGAGTCTCCAATGGCACAAACATATATGTGCCTGGTCCTACGTTGTAGCTGACTGATGTCAAACAATCACTAAGAAATGTTTTCATTAGATAAGTAATGGACACAATCAAAACTCATAGGTTTCCAATCACTGAGAAATGCACATAACTAGTTAATATTACCTAAATGATATACAATGAATAAAAGCCTGAAAAAGATGTCAATCTCAAAGTCGTAATTATAATCACTGCTTCGATTGTTAAACTAAGACGGTATGAGACAAAACACTGTGACGAAATAATGATTAACCATGAGATTATATCTACTTCTTTGATACATTTATTGTTAGTTACTTGATTAAACGACACTAAAAGGGCGTGAAACGATTTCGCACTTAGATGTCTTATAGGATAAAGCACAAATCATGCAAAATAAACAATTATCAAATAAGTGTCTAGAAGTAATTACATCATAATACTCCGAAACCTAAAATATATAGGCCCGAATTTCGGAGTCCTAACAAACCTCCACTAATAAACATTACCTATCAGTAACAAGCATGAGCTGCGCGACTTCATAAATGTATTTGTAGCACTAAAGTATGGTATTCCTAACACTTTAAGCAACAGACTGAAAATGATGTCTTTTTTTCTAGATACGAAACGCTACTTTGAAAGTGGTTAGCATGTGCCTATTCTGACCATAGGGAGTGAAGTCGGGCACGTTGACTGCTTCATCTATCTAGAGGTTTCGTCACACTTGATGGTTTGCAGATCATGGTAATAATCCAGAAAGCCTTCTTGTCTCTTATAAATATCTCACTGGTTCCAACTATAAAGCGAGTGCACTACTTACCTTGCGAATTGCTGGTCGGATTATTTTGGTGGAAGACAAGAACCCTCCCTCCACAACCAAGACATAGAATAGATCAGCGAATAATTGACGCTTTATCCGAGCCAAGTTGGTAGGTACTAAATACCTATTTGGATGGACACAGTTGTAGAGTGACTGGATACGTGACATCGCAGTAGCTCGTACTAGGTCAAGCCCGCACGGGTTGCCTTAATTTCTGGACAGACCAATTAAATCTACCCTTCTGAGAACAAAACTCCATCAAAATCATCCACCTGAGCTACAAACCCCAACCATTTTTAAAGCCACACTTTGACCTTGTTGATTATCCGCTCGTTGACCCTGACTGCTTTCATATGATCGCTCGCACTATTCATTACGCGACTGTAACTTATTTCCATCTGAACATAAATATTGGGTCACACTCGGCCAACACCAGTTGGCTCGCTTGCTTATGCTGTGCATCACCAATGAGTGTACGAAATATGCAAACTCGTAATACACCTTTACATTTGGCTTATTTAATTCCGTTTATCTCTAACGCGAAGTCAATAAGTATATACGAAGGTTGGCGGTATGCATATTTCGACAGCAATTATCGCACAATTTAACTGGGACCAGGTAAAGATTCACTGAGATATAATAGGAAGCCTATCCCAGTGGCTCAGTTGAACGCGCCAACTGCCTCTACAAAAACAGATTGTAGTAGTTCACAATTCAGATATCTACTACTTTTCGATACGCCTTTCCCGTATGCAGTCTTGGCTGGATTCATTATGCTACCATCTGAAAAACGCCTACGAAGAAGCACCAAGTGATCCATGCAACAAACGCCATGCGGAAAATCTTACTACGACCCTAACAATCCCTCGCACCTGTTGATCAGAGGATAATAGGGAAGACAATAGGGTATGTCAACGACTCAATCAGTACTGGAGGAACGGAGCGTACTTCACGCCACTAGAAAAATAAAAGGTCTACACTACTATAGTTGCTACTTCGAACTAAGTCTAAAAAGCCTTCCCCCGACACAATATATTGTACTCCAAGCTGTAGTTGGACGTTATTATTAGCGGTTAAGTCCGCTCACCGTACGGTGATAGCTAGAAGCACTCGTTAGACAATTTGGAGAAACCAAAGTCTGAATCAATACATAAGCAACCGATGACTGAGTAATTATCTGACCATGAAGTCAACAATGCTAAGCAGAATTTCTATAGGGCACGAGCTCTAAGACAGAGATGTGCCGCTATCAGTTATCAGAAGATACAATTTTAAGTTCAATGATTTATTCACAACTTTGAAACCGGTAACAATTATAAAGGAACATTTACAAAATCACGGGTCGCTCATTTAAATTAAATTTAGGAGCACTCTTACAATGCAGACTTTTCGCCATTTATTGTAACCCCGTTTTCGTGCTCTTCAACACCATCCAATCCAGACTGCAAGAGTAATTACAGGCAATTTCGACTTACGTCTTTACAGCGCTCAAAAATATTTCGGAACCTTTTCTTTGCCATATCTTTGGCCTTTTGAATCTCTTCTTCGCACATATGCAACAGCTTTACAGCAGATGCATTGTTTGGATTGTTTGCTACAATCCTCTTGAAATAAACCGACGCTTCATCGTGATCTTTACGCAGTAGATGCGCCTGGAAATACAAATTCGTGTATTTAATTTACCTGACCCATCCTGAATAACGCCTTTTCGTTGTTACCAAAAACGTCCAACACCTTCCGGCAGAACTCAATACATTTATTTGGTTTACATAGCTTCAGGTAAGTCAAACCTAAATTAAGTTGGACGGCTACAATAACTGCGGATAATTCCTTTTGCTCTGCAGGGCCATTAGCCACTATGTACTGCAACTCATCATCTAAACGTTTGTACAATTCAATAGCAGAATCAAATTTAGAGTCCTGACATAACAAATAAACGACAACAAACCTTAAGAAATTTGTTCGCTTTTTCTTTCAGCACATTTGCATAGACCATCTGCTCTGAAAATGGTGAGATACCAGATAGATGTTTAGTCTTTAACAGTAACAAGAAATAAATCTTTGGTTACCTTTTCAAAAGACTTGAGCGTTAATTCGTAAACTGCCCGACTTTTGTCTGCAACTTCAGCTGCTGAATTTTTATTTTTGCAGACCACAACACGACTGAATTCATCTGTATTCATATGACGAACACATTGATCCAACTCTTCTGGCACAGTTAACGGAGGGTCGCCGACGCAATACGTCACCTCCACATCCTCTGTTGAATCCGTCAAATTGCGGAAGACAATTGTGGCTTCAGCGCCAGCAACAGGATTGTAGATATCCTTCCCTTTCCTAAGAACTGATTTGCGAATACTTCCATCCTTGTTTCTGCTGACATCAGAGCCTAATCTATTCATTATGACATATTAAACATTACCCAAGGTTTCGAAAAGCTCCACCTCAAACTTTAGAGTTTTCCCATCTTTGTAAGCATAATCAGGAGACGCAATTAGTTCACAAGTTTCTCCCAACTTCATTGTAGCGACACCGACATCCCAAGCCTTTATTACGCTGCCTGAAAGAGTAAACAAGGTGGCTATTTACTTACCATTCCCAATAGTAAACTCAAATTTCTCATTTCGAGCTCTACTTGAGTCAAAGACCTCACCGTGTTTTTCCCCACCATAGTTGGTCCCGACATAATGTACAATCACAGTGTCGCCATCACATGGCGTGACGTCAGAATAGCCTTCTCGCAATACTTTTTTGAGGATGCCACGATCTCCAGATGGACTTAAATCTACGAAATCCTTTAGATATTCACCTTCCACCCGTTGCTGGGCCCCAGACTCCTGACCATCACTATCAGCCATTCCGCCGACGCTTCCAGAATTCTAGTAAATGTCACTGATGCAGCCAAACAAACACAGCCGACTATGATGTTCAATAGGACTACACCAAGACAGCCTTTGTGTTTTACTTAAAATACCGATAATTAAACTGGAATTTAACTGTGGCTTTGAACCATCAAGTCTGTTTTGAGTGACAGAGTCTATAGTATTTATATTAGATGGTATTTGAAATAAATTCCATCTTCAGACAATAAAATGTTGTCAAACATACTTGAAATGAGTCATACGGCCAATGAAATGTCACCGGTCCCTAGTCGTGAACTGTTACATGCAGATGTGGCTGTAACATATGCTTTTCTAACCCTAACATTCTTTTGGTAAAATCGTTTTCCTGTTCAGTTATCGAAGTAGCCGAATCACCTGGATACCCCGAAGGGATATTTCACGTAAGGTATTATTCACAACGTGTGACTTCTGCATAAGGTAGGTGATCACATCACTCCCGTCCAACTCCATCAAGTTTTTTAGCAAAATATGCTGATGGAGAGGCAAAATAGACCAAAGTACAGAAACGTCAATGTGCCACAAGTATTCAGAGTTTGGCAACACCTTAACAGGTAAAACGTTTCATAATTGCAACGTGCCGACTCAGTGAAATCAGAAGTCAGAAGAGAAGAGGTTCGAAAATATATTTTATAAGCTATCGATATATTGAGATGCAACTAATCTGATCTGGTTAGCGGTTGTTGGAGTATCAAAGCATGGCGTACTTACTCGTGATCTGGTGAGGAGGCATGACCGAACGCCTTCAACTAGGCGAGTTCATTAAGATTGGTTCGGTCAGCACCAAATGTTGAAGACTTATGGGGCTACTGATTTTTGGTATATATATCACTACAAATGCTACTTTTATTCAGAATCTGAGAATGATTTTATCGAGTTTGCGGTCTTTTTCGTATGGATTTAAATGTGTGTGTTTGTTCAGGAAAACTCCTTCATGTGTATATTGTATATAGCAATAACTTTTTGTTTCACTCTCAAAAGGAAATTTATTTTCTGATACCTTCAGTTGCATAAACCAATGATTCTGACCACAGACGAAACGACTGCTATCTGTTTGCACTGCAACTTTGGTTTTTTAACGTTTCACCTAAGTTACTTGGCTTTTACAGAAAAGCCAGAACAAATATTGATGCAGAATGATATGAATTCATTATATTTTATGATTTATCGTTGGCTACTTACAATCAAATATGTATTAGAATTTTAGCATTGAGATAATTAATAGTGTGGGACAATCGACATAAGTGAATGTAAAAGACTGGAATGACCAAAGGTTATCAATGATAATTATAAATATATGTATATATATATATGCAAGAAAAGGTCAGCGGTTATTGGGTGTTAGAATCAAGAAAACATAAAGGGTGGGTCGTGTAATAGTTGAGTGGAGTTCAGAGACAGACAAGACAAATTGTGTGATAATTTTAGAGGTAATAAGGGATTCATGGAATTAAAAACAAATAGGATGGGTTACGTAATAGTTGAATAGAATTCGGAAAGTTCATATAATTTAAGGGAAACAAGTGAGAGGAAATTTCAATGAAAGGGTAGTTTAAGAATTGGGAAGTGGAAGAGGAATATAATACAAAACCAAATATTAACCAAAATAAAACTAATGACCAAAAAAACACACAAAATGCTTGGATTACCAGGGAAGTAATAAGTTCATGAATGTTTCTTTTGAATACATGGATCCGGTTTAAGTTTTTTTATCACGATCACTTGTGCCAATTGTTCCACACCATTTATTATCTCAATGCTAAAATTCTAATACATATTTGGTTATGATCAACTGATGAGAAACCACGAAATATAATGAATTCATACTATTCTGCATCAAGATTTGTTCTGGCTTTACTTCAATTCTTGAAGGGAACTAATTGCATGAAATTTTTACGGAAAAGGCGTATGCTTTTTCATTTGACTCCAAACCTTGGTGTATGCCATCTTCAATTTCCCTGCTTAGAACATTAATTGTTCAATTGGTAGCTTTGATCCACACAGAGAGATAAGAATGTTACTTCTCGATTAAGGGGAACCTCCTTTCCCTCATTACTCAAATAACCTATTTACTAAATATCTTTTATGTTGATTGTTCAATCCCGTTTAACAACTCTGCTGGCTATGTAGCCAAGTGGTTTTGTTCTAGTGAGTAGTTCGATACAGTCCAGATTTATGAATTCTGTGATTAGGACAGTGCTTGATCTAACCACTATGTTTTGAAGTCACCTGTTTGAAAAGAATAAGTATATAAAGTTCCAGTGAAGGCTACGTAGAATCCGAGCTACACAAGCTCGGGTGTTGCATTATAAGCTACAATACCAAAATTGTATTTTATCAAACGAGTGAATGAATTGCGAGCCAAAATCCAAGGTCTGTTATCTTATATCTGATTAGTTCGTCCATAAATTATAGTCTTGTTGCACATATTATGATTTCTACTAGTTTGCTAACTAAACTATTAGGGTCAACTGAGTGATAATTACTGATCAGATATTCATCACCAGGTTTATGGACCGGATTAGATTTTAAACATGTCTATTCTCAATATATCAAACAGTATTGTCAGTGGTCCAGCAAATATGTTTTTCAGAGCTCACGTGATTCGAAGATGAATATCATCAAGGATGCCGGAATAGTCGTGGGGTAACTGTTACTGGAGGACCAAACAGCAAGACGATAAAGCAATGGTCGAGTTATGACAGCATATAATTTCTCAGTAAGCCATTAAGATAAAACGAAATCACTGATTGGAAAAATTTACCCTTTAACAAGGACAATGAAATACCCTCAAGAGTTCCGTAATTAGTTCAGATTAACTCTAATGTCATCGATAGACTAAAAGACAAAATAACATGGTAATGAACAAAAAGCATAGCCTCACTTATGTCGCTCGAATAATAACTTACTATTTGGCCACGGTACAAATACGAAGGTTGAACTACTGGAATTCAACACAACTACATAAGATCAATGTATAGATGGAATACAATATACAACGACCTTTTAAATAAATACCGGATCATTCAACAATACACCAACGTTGATAATGATGACTGTCCTTTCTCCTTCGTCTGTAGGAATCACCGTACTTAAAAATTTTAATGGGCATTCTGTTTTACTGACATCATTACTTATCAATCAAGATGAGTTTATTTTGGGGCGAAAGCGGAATGATTCCATCAGCTCTCTGCGGTTGTCCCTTTAATTAGGAGTGAAACATTTGGAAATTCTTTTAAAAACCTTAGTCGAGTGTTTTCTCGTAAAATCACCACGTTTTATTTATAAACGCTTTGCATCTTTTCCCAGTCATACAGTAGGTAGATCTGAACGATTCAGCTATTTTAGATATGAATGTATGCTAACATAAATTTCTACTTCTAATTGATTTTGAATCTCCTTTGTTAATCTTAAGGGATGGTTGTTAGGTCCATGTGGTTTCAGGAGTAATATAAATAGGGATGAAACTGAATTAAATGCATCATGCCCTCCAGATGAAAATGCGTTGACGGACCAGTCCTTTGCTTCATCACACTCCTTTATGGACGAACCTCTTGTCCATCACACGGTTGAGCGTGGTAGAATCTGATCACAGATGATGTCACAGCTCCAAACCTGGATAAAAACCACATGATCACTACCAACAAATGGTGGAAGGATATTGAGATAGGGAATATCCCGTTACGTCAGCAATTTCTAAATCCAATAAAAAGGTCTTTGACTTAAACCAAAGCATATAGTTTTAGATAAATGTTGTGCTACGACATATTGCATCTCATTCATAATGGCTCTAACGTCCAATAGCATATCTAATGCAAAAGTTGACAGAACTTTTCAATATACATCAGTTTGATGACTTCCTTAATTTGTATGCCATCCACTTGCAACGTCTTTTCCTAACTTCCTCTTCATTTGGAAGCTGGTTTGTCCTCTCCCACAGAAGTCTGTTGCTGATGGTATCCGGTCAGTGAATGTTGAGTATCTTGTGTAGACAACTATTTATAAATACTTGTACCTTCTTGACGATGGTTTTAGTAGTTCTCCACGTTTCAGCTCCATATAACAGAATTGTCTTGATGTCTGTGTTGAAGATCCTTACTGTGATATTGGTTGGTAGTTGTTTTGACTTCTATGTGTTCTTCACTTATAGGAATGAGGCCTTTACCAATCGTCGCATTTACATCTGCATCGTATCCTCCTTCTTCGCCGGTAATGCGTCTCAAGTACATGAAAGATTCCATATCTTCCAGGGTTGCGCCATCAAGTGTGATTTGCTTGGTGTTCCCAGTGTCCTACTTGATGATCTTGCTTCTCCCACTGTGTATGATGGGGCCCATTGATTTAGGGGCTGTTGCTATACTGGTTGCATTCATCTGCATTTCCCGTGTGTATGGGATAGTAGGACTGTTGCGTGTTCGCTAGTCGGGATTACCAGTTATGTAGTGCCGTGCTTCAATAATAGTTCACTTCAATAACCGTTATTATACCAATCTTAACGGTGTATAAAATCAGAAGGCGAAAGGAAGCGGCAACTACATTATTATTGATGAATGATGCAGACCAGAAAGCTGTGGGCACATGAGAATGTGTAAGCAAGCGAAGCAAAGATGATGCATAGTGGAGATGGCTGGGAAGCCAACTCGCTATGAGCAAGCATTACTCAATATTTATAATCAGACAAAAATGAATGACAGACATATGATGAATAGGATACGAAGGATACACATATACGCTCATATAAAAATATAGTCAAGGTTAATGAGAGAATAATTAACAAGATCAAAATATGACTCATAATGTATAGGTGAATTAGCTTGGCCAGAAGCTAGAATAAAGTATATGGTCTTAACATAACAACCGATACTACAGGACGTTATAACGGTATCATTCTTGCTATAACAGTCCTTTCATGTTTCACACGTATTTAGAACGTTATTTTACCATAGAAGAATGTCTAC